GGAAACTGTTACAACCCTCTATTTATTTTCGGACAACTGTTTTGCCCAAAACAAAAATCAAACCATAGTGCAGTACTTTCACACATTCATCAATGCTTTCAATAGTAATATTCAGCAAATTATACATCAGTTTCCAGAACCCGGTCACAGCTTTCTGCCGTGCGACCGTTGCTTTGGTTTAATTGAAAAAGAAAAACGAAAAAAAGAAATAGTATACTTACCTTCTGAATGGAAAAAATTAGTCAAGAATACATCTAAACAGTTTCGCGTAATAGACGTTACCCAGGATATGATCCTCGATTTTTCTAATACTTTTAAACCTATTTTCAAAAAAGCCATAAGTAACCAACAAAAAGAAAGATTTACCATCTCAAAGTATCGTCTTTTCAAATATGAAAGAAAAAACATAATACAGTGTAGTGCTACAGCAGGTCTAACTTTATATTCATCATTTGTCATCAAAAAACCTAACGCAGTTTTAATTTGGCCAAATACTAAACTGTACAACACATTTCCACTTAAAATAAACCCCAAAAAAATAGCAAATGTGATGTCTTTGGCAGATCACTACGTACCACCAATATATAAGTGGTACTACGAGCAAATACGGGTCACAAATCAAGATGAACAACAACGAGAAGAAGAACTTGACAGCGATAGTGGCGAAGTTGAAACTGAAGATTTCTAGTTTCTTTATATTATGTTGATCAGTTTTCTTTGCTGAAATGTTCTTATTTTAACCACATCATTTGTTATTTTTTCTGTGATCTCTATTGTGTTTCTTGTTTTTTTAGAGTTGCTTTGAGCTAAAACGTGAAGTTATGTTTTTTTTATAATGAATAAATACTGAACGCAATAATGTTGCTTTATTTGTGTATATTTGGAGGTTCGGTGCAAAAAACAGTCAACTCCAAGAGTTCAATTTTTTTTTCTAAAGTGTCAAAAAAGATTAATGTTATCAGTTTGATATTATATTATTCTCCAATAGCAGTACTTACTTGGTATTTTGTTTCGACAGAAAATTTGTACAAATAACAATATTGGAAAGTTTTTATTGATTTTCCACAAATTATCAAAAATGGAGTTGACTGGTTTTTGCACCGAGCCCTTCAATTACTCATAACGCGGGCGCGGTGGTGATTTTTCGTAATTCTTCTCAAAGTTCTTGAAAACAAAAAAAAAACGGGAAAAGGTATTATATAACCTTGAACATAACCTCTCTTCAGAAAGAACAACACAAATAACCCATCTGGCACAGCTAATAGGCAGCATAGTCAGTAATAATTTTTTCACATAGCAAATATCACAGATTTTATACACATGCAGACCAATACAATCATCCAGATGCGGTCTTGCTACTCAACCAAAGTTTCGTTCTTTCGCATCTCAAACACTACAATTTGTAATCTACAAACAAAGAGCCGAGCATGCCGTATCGTTCATTCATTCCTCCATAAGTGGACGCTTTGGATCTAGTCTGCAAGATGACATCTTATAGGTTTTTTTTTTCACCTTTTATAGGTTTTTTTACATAATACCCGTGCGTGACTCTATTTCCACTCGAGTAACTATATTTTTTAACAAAAAGTGCTTTTTGGTAAACCGTTTAGTGGTATAATCATACATTAATTTGCCAAGAATGGATACATTCACAAACCTGTCTGACAAACTTTAGAGCAGACGTGGCAAGTCCAAGCCCTAACTGCACCTAGTTGGAACTCGTTTCCGAAACACCCGGTACATCAATTTTTCATCACTAGGCGTGTATTTCATTTTTGACATTTGCGGAATGATGTGCTAAACATTCCAAATTTTCAGTTTTCATCTAGTTTCAAATTATTATGAGTCTACCAGATACCGACAAAAGCGATACGGATATTAGTTCTAATCCTTCATGGAGTGTCATTGGAGAAACCGACGATTCTCGCCAGGATTCCTTGCAAAACATCGTGATACAACGCGACATTGACAACACCCATGGATCAGATGAAGAAAACAGAGCTAGTGATATCGACAGCTCGTTTATAACAATACCAGAAGATGCGGCATGGACGATAGATCCAAACGACCATGTTCCACCAGCGAGAAAATTGAAGAAAAATAAGTCCAAGAAGATCTACTCTGAGTCTTTAAGCATAGCGACAATCATAGCTTCAATACTGACTATAACAGGTATTACCATCCTTTGTATGCTATTTCCTCAAGACATCGACACTCAATCTCACGAACAAGTACACAAAGCGTATGTTGAGGTAGTCAGTAGGACAGATGAGACTATACCTGAGGTTATCAATAAGACTTCTGAAGTGCTGAAAGTCGTAGCTGAAACTAACTTATTGGACAAGATACATGATAGATTAGAATGTGATGATGGCGGAGAGTGTAGCAAGGAAGATGATATTTGTCCAGCAGATGGTGACGCGACGGGTTCAGACACAGACCATGATGGCCTTGAGCATTTTCCAGGTATGAGATTTTCTGCGAGACTACCTTCAGAAAAATCGGGTACCGATAAAGATAACGATGAGCAGCTTAGTACTTTGACTGCGCTGCGAAATACAACAATTTCGTTTCTGAGCAAGTTGAGAGAAACTTTCATATCCGATCCCCACCTTCATATACTTTTATGTACTGTAATGCAGGATGTATGCCTGATAAATTTGGTAAAACAGCTGAATAGTAGACAATCAGCACTACTCAAGACAGTAAAAAGTAACACGCCTTCAACTTCAGGTAAAAGGGAGAAGAAAGGCTCTTGGAAGAAAACAAGATCTAAATTGACTCCGAAGAAATCTAAAAAGCAGGACGGTGTTTCCAACAACACCAAAGAAAGCACGAAAACTGAGATAACTTCACATCCCCAAAAAGTGAATGAGGTAAATAATGTAACCAAACTCGTTGAGCAGACCTCAAGCGTCAATGCGCGATCTCAGTCTAACGCAGTTAATAACAAGACAAGTTCACTTAACACTTACAAAAAAGTAATGTATAGGCAAACGAAAGATCTTGTTAAAGAAACAAATGAATTACTTGTTTCTACGATGAACGAAACGTCTAATCGACCTCAATCCGCGCCTTTCTCAAATAAAAAAGTTACAAAAAAGGTGGATCCAACCAAAGAGCCTGCTCTTGATCTCATCAGGCTAATGACAAACGGAACTGAACGCCACCAAGAAATTGAGGAACTAAGAAAAAGATGGGAGTGCGCTGGAAACGACTACAGGCGGAGAATAGATCTGATAAAGCAGGAATTCAGAGATGAGGTGATGCCAACTAGATATATTGATTTTTCGCAAAGATCCCAAAAGATACGAATGATCAGGCAAAAATATGTAGCATTTCTGAAGATGCATAGAGAGAGATATCTTGCACAGTTGAGGAGGTACAGAGAAGATAAACAGAAACTAATCGATGAGATTTGTCTTAGAGTTCAAGAAAGCACCAACCAGAAAGATGCCTCAGTTGGTAACTATGCCGTCTTGCTTGATGGGTATGATTTCCGTCAGACTTTGAAGAACCTAGCTTGCAATGAAGGCTCGTCCGGAATCACCCACATGGAGAACTTGATGTCAATTAGGGATACTGCAGAGGATCCGGTGAAATATCAGTCAGCAGACCATAAACTTTCAGAGATAGGATCAGCATCTAGAAGTCAAAACTTAAATGTTATGGCTAACTACTCAAACAAGCTTCACAGCGGGTCAAAGACCAGCTTAAAGAAGAAACCAAGCGACAAAAATAACGAAAAACTGGCTCAGGTCGTTGAGTGTCCTTTGGTAGAAGAAGTTGTTGGAAATATGATGTCTAACCTGTCGCAGCTCAGTACTAGCTTTTCTAACTTGAACAACAGAATCAGCAAGTCTAATGCGATGCTAGATTCAGGGTTTGCTGAGCAGACTGGATCTAATTCAAAGATAGAGGAAAATAGTAATGATAGTAGTTCTGGACAACAAAACAAGGAGTCAATCATACAAATTAGGAACGAACACTTGAAAAAAGGTGACACTTGGTTGGAGTCGGAAGAGCCTCACTCAATTGACAAGTCGAGCTTAGGAAAGAAGACCAAAGAACTGGATACGAAGAAGAGCCTTGCCAATCAAAAGATAACGATCAAAACACCTACCGAAATGCTTAAAGAAGACCTAAATAACAACAATAATATTGATGCAAAGAAAGACACGGATGATGCAGAGATAGAAGAAGGCAAGAAGGACGGTGACAATTTAAAGGCCCAGAGGTGGAGGTACAAAACACCTTCTGAATTGTCGGAAGAACACATTAAAAATGGTCATTTGGATAACTGCGGTGCCAGAAACAGACTTGTAGTACCTACAAAATGGAGGGAGAGGATGAGCATTATACGAATGTGCAATGAAGACTACAAAAAAGGTGATACCTTGTTAGAATCAGAAGTGTCGAATAAGAAAGGAACGTCTGAAGAAGATACGGCAGACGAGGATCTTCCTCAAGGTCAATTCAAGGTTGTGACTAAAAGGGAAGGAAGGAAGAGGGATATCTATGAAGCAGCATTTGATGAAAATGGGCAGAAGATAAAAGAAAAAGAAATTACGAAATGGGGATTGCAGAAAAGGATGAGGTCACCGCAGTCCTTTGTTTTTAGCAAGCAGGATCCGAAGACGGTGGTTAAAGAAAAGTTTTCATTTAAGGGACAGTTGTAGATCATAGAATGTAGATAGCGAGTCAATAAATGATTGATGAATAGTATGTGTGTATCTGAATTTTGAAACAGCTTATGGCTTGTAAATACTCTCTTTATTGGAACTCTCACATGGTTTGCATCGTATAGGCAATTCAAATAATGTTTCGCCATTCTTTTTGATCTTTGTGCGGTTTCTGTAGTACTTTATATCTAAAAATTATTCAATTGACACTGGTACCTTCAAAGATTTGTTTTTTATATAAATTTTGTTGTTTATGGCAGACGGAGTAACAGGGTTAGATGAGAATAATATTTTGGCACAATCACTGCTACGGCTTACTTTGTCTGGTGAGTTGTTGTCCCTTGGCGACGAAGGTGAGGCACATCTGCCATTGTTGGGTACTCCTAGTTCGTATATGTTCAGCATATGGGCAGCTTGTGCGTGAACCATCAGATCCCAGGCATTCTGAAACCCATCTTTACATTGGACGCATAGCAGGGAGGCTGTAGTTTGATCGTCCAGCTGGGATTCTGGAATGCAAAGAATATTATAGGGTAATCGCTCGTCGCTTGATGAACAAATGTTGGAAAAGCGGCTATGAAATCAGTCGTTATTGAAATAACATTGTTTCTCGAAATGTTATAAAAGCTGTATAAGCAGGGTATGGGTAATGTTTCCAAGACATATACTAGTCGATCCAAGTTTTGGACTACCTAAGGTTAGCAGGATTATAGGTAGATCTTCATTTGGTGGATTTTACCTCATTTCAGATTCTATATAATAATACTTGAGCGGCAGAGACCTTTCCAGTCTGTATCTGGCAGCCTTGACATTATGGAGGCGAGCTCAGAAGACTCAGTTTGCATATCGGTAGAAGACAGCTCTAAACTGCCGTCTACCGGTCGATATAAGTGAAGCTTGAGACTCTCTATTGTCTACAAATCAATCGGATATCCCTTTGCAGCTCCCCAGACATGCGAACAGTGGACCAAGCAGCGTCTTAGTAGCGCCTTGTACAGACTGCGTGGATTACATGGCGGAAAGTATTTCGTGACTGTAAACAGATGGTGCAAACAGCGGGACGTGCTGTTCCCAAATTCGTTTTCAGCAATCTCTGCAAAATTCATACCATGTACTGTCAGTGGCTTGCACTAGCTGTACAGGTATGTGTGACCTAATTTAAATTTATGACACTGATCCCAGGAGCAATCACTTTGCTGACCGTTTTTATACAGTAGTATTTTCCAGACATCGGAAGTAATGATCATGCAAAAAATAATATCTTCTTCCTCTATACTCATATATTCTCCACCAGATCTTGTTCCATATACTATAAGCTACAAAGCAAGCTAGTGAATTGCGGGTTGCAGTGGTTGAGGCAAATATCGGCAAAACGGCCGATACGTTATACCTCCGTAGATGGCATTCACGGCCCTTGAATAAGCATATCACATCGCGCAGTGGCAGCTGTCTCATTGTGACTTTGGAGCACTGGACTGCTCTTGTACACGTCAGAAATTAAGCTGATCCACTAGAGAACTTTGCAAAAATGCTGAAGCAGAATGCCAGGAAGAATTAACTAAAACAGCAACTACACCCCCATGGCACACTCTTCTGTTAATACTTTGCCACGCCGCGTATAAATTCAGAGTCGGTGCGCTTAAAGACAGCCACCTGTGCCGCCCGTAAATTTTCCCGGACCTAATCCCACCATCCTTCTTTATTAGCGGACACAACGTCCGGGGCCGCTACCTCGGAAACTCTACTCCCTACTGCCCTTCGAATCTTTCCTTGCTTATGAAAGGTGAACTGGACCGACCTATTATCTCTTTTATGAGCTCTGGAAGCTTGTCTTAGCAATGGTCCCCACGTAAGCTACAAGTGGCTATATCTGGAGAGGTTGCTTTTCAAGATTTTTGGCGGGACACAGTAGAATGTTTGTATAAACACTCGGACAAACGTGGTTACCATTGTCAGTGTGCGAGTTTGAATCCAACCCTAAAAGAATTTTTTACTTTGGCTATGGACGTAGTTATCGTGCTTGGGTGGTAGAGGGTCTCGGACTATCGGCGTGTACAGCCCACCGGATCTGTAAGGCGTGGCTAGAATGTGTGCATGTCGCATACACACATGTTCCCTCGCTAGAGTCTCTATGGTGTCCTTCCTTTCTCCTGTATCCACCTATAGCCCCAAGGTTAGGTTCTAAGTCCTCGTGGCGGTTAAAGTATAAGTATAAAACACAGCAATGCCTGAAGATTACAGATACAATGTCGACAGTCTGTGTTAGATTTATTGGAACATTTTGGTAAAGAGAATAAAAGCAAGGGTCTGCAGAGTGCACTTTCCCTTAGGGAAGTTAGGCTTTGCACCTGGTACAGTTAGTCAATCTGTTTGCTTATTTCATATGAGTCCATACGGAACCTCCAAAAGTCGTGAAAAGATCTACATGTTTGTGAATATGTGCAGTGTAGTTTCCCATGTTTTCTTGTTTTATCGTTTAGTAGCCGATAACTTGTCGGTGACTGTAGTCCAAGGTCCGGCCATAGGAATCCCGTTTATTCTGCTACGCTAAAGTGCACTGGACTAACTTATTTTATGGATTGAGTCTCGACAATTGCAACAATTACTGGGATTGGGTGCCTTTTGAGGAATGACCCGTCCTTAAGTTTTAAAGAAGCATTAACGCTTTCATGAGGAACATTCGAGGAGGGACACCATTACAGGCTGACATCGATGTTAGAAGGACGTTTTAGAATTTTGACGACTAGTTTTGGATTGTTTGTTTTCCTTTGTGCTAAATTTCAGTAGGTAGTACGAGACCAAATCAGACCTCCCTTTGATGGACCGATCAAGGAGCGAACGTAATCGAACGCCAACGCCGACCTTGGAAACCGTTGACTTATGTTGACGCGCGTCGCACACAACGTTTGGAACACCTCCAAATCTGTAACCACAGGTGCCTTGGCTTGCCCTGGAATCTTGGTCTGTACGCGGCTTAAGACCCGAGTACTTCAGTGCGTCAAATAGGAGCAAGCGGTAGTGCCCAAAAGTACAGCCCACCGAATCCGTACCACGTACAGCAAGTACAATCTCTACAACCCACGGATTATTTTCCAAGAGTCGAGTTTTGTCAACCAATGCTACAGAGACCCATGTAGGGGAGCCCACGATGCTAAATCGGGATTTACTCGAGCGTCAGATTGGGTTGCGAAGCTTAGATGATAAAACGAAACAAATGTCCTATAATACTCGTATATACCTTTTCATCGGTGGGAGAAGCGGCTATAGATTTTCAGAAATGTAAAAAAAACTGTTGCATGGACATACTCGAGCGCGTCAGATATTGATATCATCCATGTCCTATGTATTTTGAAAAATGTTGGTTTGTTAATCTGATTGATTCCATGATGGGGGTGGTCGTACGTAAGGGTTGAAAATGAAAAAAAATTTAATCGAGCGCATATGATTTGAACCTAAAAAAAGCTCTTATGTAATAATCTGACGATTTGGATATGAAGCAAATTCGCGGTCATTATTAGAATGTGCAAAAAAATTCGTCATTTTGAAATACCCAAGCGCGTCAGATTAAGATATATATGGTTCATCTTTATGCCCTAGACGTGCTTTGTCATAATCTCACGATTACCACAGGGGGTTCACCTAATCTGACAATTAAAAAAAAATTATTTTATTTTTTTTAATCATTGAACTTAATTAATTGAATATCTCAGGAAAGAGCATGCAAATAAAAAAAAGTGCATATTTTTTTAAGTAGAATACTTGTATTTATAAAAAAATAATTATAAATAATTAAATTTTTTTGAGTATTTTTTTAATCATCTTCATCGGTAGAATCATCTTCCTCATCTGGCTCGATTTCAACCTCAGATTGCGTATCTGTAACAAAATTCAATAAAATATTTAGTAATACGTTTTCTTATGAATAACGTGTTTTTTAATTATATTTACGAGATGAAATCTTATTAGCACGTACTCGTCGGTCGATGTACCAACAGCCTCAGCATACGCGGAATCAACAGTAGCATGTGATTTGGAGCACTCTCCAGAAACAGAAGGATGTGATTCGGAGATATTCCCAGAAACTTCTGATACATTTTCATGATCCATTACACTTTGCTGTTGTGGCTGAAAGTCTCGGGGTATTTTTATTGCTGTAAATAATTTATAGCACTGTGCGTAATACTCTTCATTCAATGAAGATTCTATCGAAACTTCTAGATTATCGTACGTTGTTCGAGATTTTCGGACAACCGGTTTGCTTCGGCGATATTCTAAAGCATTTAAACATTTTTGTAATGTTTCTAATGTAAATTTAATTGTTTTTTGCAGAGTACTTTCACCGTAAAATACACACTTCATATTAATATCACTCACAATAAATATTTATAAACTTCAATTCACATAACTAACAATAAAATCACAAAATAAGCAAAAACGTTGGAAATACGTGGTAAGCAATATCATGCTACAAATGGGCTGTGTGATCAGCTGTCATGGCATCATGGCAACAGCAACCAGAGTGGGGACAGAGTGAGAGAGTAATAGATCGAGAAAGGGTGAGAGAGAAATAGAAACGCGGAGAGGGGAATATAGGCAACCTGTAGCTGCACGCATTAAACTTTATCGATTAATTTTTATTACTTCGATTTGTGAAAATCGTCAGATTATATATTTTTCGTAACCCTTGAATTATTCCCGTCAAAATAAAAAAAATTGGCCACGCTCGAGAATAGCGAGATGACGTTTTTTTACAACTTTGTAGCACTCCCCCTTCTCTGCGTCACTCTCAAATGGTCAGATTAGTCGAATATACATGTTTTAGCTTGTAACTAACTCACCTTACTTTAATCTGACGCGCTCGAGAATTTCAGATGATCAATTTTTTTTTACTAATCTGATCCTTTATCGTTGACGGGCGACCATATACAGGGTGTCCCGAAAAAAGTGTGCAATATTCTACCAGCGGATTCTAGATCTTAAAATAGGAAGAAAAGTTCATATAACCATAGGTCGACAAACGTCCCCTAAGGGCGCTACGGTCTTTTAAAAGGGGCTCCCCTGAAGATGGTTTTTCCTTAATATTTCCGGAACGTGTTGAGATAAAGACATAAAATTTGGTATCTTAGCCTAGTTTTTTATGCTGGATTTAAAAATATTAATAATTTTGAACAGTTTTGTTCGGAAGCGTATGTAACAGGGACGGACTCAGGTTATTTGAGCCCCAAAATTTTTGTGTAAGTCTATATTTGAAATTCAATCTTAGAATTTCAAAATTTAGGGTTATCTACATAAAAAAGGTACTCTTATTAAATATCGATAAATTGTGCCATTTTTGAATAAAATAAAATTAAAAAATTTGTCACATGATAGGAAATGTACTGCGAATTTAAATGAATTGTTGTCATGGCAACGAAAAAACAAATTTAATAATTGGTCAATATTACCTAAATACGTATTTCTTTTGCAACATAGCTAACATTTAGGGAAAAACAAAACAAATAATTTTTTT